TATTCATACACTTGCCTGAGGCGAATAGAAATAAATTAGTTCGTTATAATTGTGTGTAACCTTCACAGTACTGTAGATTTTTTTCCGTTCTTTATAGACAGTTTCGCACTGTTGTCCGACATGCATTGTTTGAAGACATGATACTGTGTTATTTATGGAAATACTTTGATAATGCAATGTTTATGAAAATAAATCATAGGCCTATATTTTACGATTAGTTTTTATCACTTTAAAAGTAAATGATATATTCCTTCCACGAGACAATTGGCAAGACACATTTTCCACACAAAAAAAAATCGAGGCATAGGTTTGTTCAGACGTTCATCTTCAACATTTCAAACACAGTGAACCTGACACCATTAAATAAACCTTAATGTTAACTCTGGCAAGTAACCAACTTCTCTTTTTTTTTCTCTCTCTCTCTACCTCTCTTAAGACTTTAATTTTCTTTCAGTTGAAGACATATCAGAATGACTCTAATTTCAATTTCAAAGTCACACGCACTAATTCGGAGAAGGCCAAGCTCGCGCCCTCCATGATAAACAAAAATTCGGAGCGGTTCGGAACAAATCTACGCTCGCCTTGGCACGGAAGATTTGCGTGTTTCTTTGAATATTCATTAAAATAAAGATTAATAATAGTTTCATGACCTAAATATGTTATCTTTTTTACAACATAGTGCGTAAGAGATGAACGTCAGTTTGCTTCAGACGGTAAGACCTGTTCGAACAGATTTCATGATGACTCGTCGGCTTTGCTTCGAAAACTAGGTGAAAAGTGAATCCGATTTAGTTGCTTTTATTGAGTCTTTTATCTCATATAATTCCAACTCTAATTTATTGGTGATAAAACAATGAGTCTATCTATCCATCTACATATATATACATACATATATATATACACACGTATCTGTGTGTAATATATACATGCATGTATGCAGGTGTATATCTAGATTTCAATTTTCTATAATTCCTCACTAATTCTGTGGGTAATTCGCAGTAAATACAATAGTGGTAACTAGCAATTGAAAGACAAATAACTACATGTGAGTATATTCCCATTAACAGATTCACGAGGAACCAATTAAATTCGAATAGTTGGTTATACTGTGGGCATACATAGTGAATCAAGGGCAATTATGGGTAGCCTGTGACAAAGCGTATCGAATGACAGTATCCATTCCAGCGGTTTCCAGTCTTTTTAAAGGCCATTGCAATTTTTTTATACAGCATCCTTCAGGGTGACCGCCAGGCAGCATTAAACCAAGTATGTTTTTTTTTTTCATTTTCTTTTTATGATTTATTAATAAGACAAAAACAATTTATAAACATTCTAAGTGTGAAAGATATGGAAAAATGCTTGAATTTAAATATATCTTTCACATATTAGTGGGTTATTTCACCCCTACTTATACATTGTCATAACTTGTACTTCCCTGCACAGAGGACCAAGACTCCGGGTTTGGGAACCATTGAGCTACTCCTTGACCACCATGCTCACCGTAGTACAAAGTATACTTGGTCAGGGTTGACACGTCATTCTAAACTGGGTTTCCAGCTACGTTGGCATTCATGGGATTGAGGTTGCTGACAGATTGGTAAACCTTGAAAGGGGAAGACCCTTGAATGTACTGGATCAGGTCATACGGCCAAGTCATACCAGCAGAGAGCTCCATCGCGAAGAAGCGCGAATCTTCGTTAATTGGTACATGAAGGAAATGAGCGATGAAACTTTGGCTGGACGATCTTGTTAAGTGTTAAGGTCATTGCTCATTGAATCGAATAGGCTGTCACTGTGTGACAAATTTCAGACCGTATTGGCCATAGGCGCTGGTATGAGCATTGCAACGACGCCTCGTTGCATTCCCTCCTTGAGTGCAACTTTAAATTATATACTAAATTACACCGACCACTTCCTCCGAGTTAGTGAGAAGGTAGCCTGTCCTTTGCTGCACATAGACTAGAATAGGGTGAAGTTGTTCCCCAGTAAGTATTTACTAATGATTGTCAGATGAGTTCAATCTTAAATAGTGCAAGAAGCCGGGCGGACGTTTGCCTTCGAATAATGTTCATTTATTTTTTTTCTATATTATGATTTAATGTTAGATTGCAAATAGATATATATGAAATTTAACACGATTGAATGTTACCATTACACACTCTCTGTAGTTTAGAAACTGAATTATTGTTCAGTAAGCAATATCATAAATTAAAGGCTGTTTTCATAATAAAGCACGCGAAAACAACGGCAAAGCTATATTTTCGTTTTTTTTTTTCCTTCTTCTTCTTCAATCTGATCATCTTTATTAATTCCAGAAGAGTGTTCGTCAGCAGTAAATACGCTGACCGTATGCACTTGAATTTTTAATTCAAACTATCTGTTATCTTAGGGTACCATATATATGCTCTGACTTATTTTTACTTTTATTTGTATGAAATGAGCACTATATAAATAAATACATTGTCTTCACAATCTTCAGTAAGATGAATTAGTTCTTTGT